GGGGGGACGATGGGCTGCGGGAAGGCAGAGTGGAAGGATAGAGAAACACACAGCGTGGGGCGCTCTTTCAAGACACGACCCCTCGCTGGGTCGCAGGGCAACGTTTCGGTGCCCGGGAAGGTCGTGGAGTCCGGGGCGCTTGTGAACAGAAACACTTGGGTGCTTTCAGGGCTACGGGATCCAGTTTTTCGGACCCAAGGAATATTACGAGGGTGAGTGGTGTGGCAACCAGCGCAGCGGGTGGGGCCGCATGTACTACAGCAACGGCGATATCTACGAGGGCCAGTGGTGGAATGACAAGCACGACGGGGAGGGCATGCTGCGGCTGAGTGAGTGTCCCCACCCCAGACGGCCACGCCCCCAGCAGCTCCTGGCCACGCCCACCAAGACGGGCCCCGCCCAGCGCCCCCAGGTCCCGCTGGCGGGCCATGCCCTAGATGTCCGATGTCAGGTGGTCCTTCCCCTCCCCATCTGGCCACGCCCATCTGACCATGGCCTCGCTGTCTTGTGGAAGAGGACCCCATGACTGCCCTTGGGGAGCTTATATCCATTTTTTAAAAAAAAATTAACTTTATTTATTTACTTATTTACTTTTTATTTTGGCCAGAGAGGAACAGGGTGAGAGATAAAGAGATAGGGAGAGAGGGAAAGTGAGAAAGCAAGCTGCCAGGTCTGGGACTCCAACCGCTGTCGGCAATGTGGGAGTCCAGCGCCCTTAACCACCATGCCACCTGCCGGCCCCAGGAGCTTATATCCTACCGTGGAGCCCCACAGTAAACATAGGTGAAACAGTTTCTTAAGGCCCTAGGAGTCACAGGCCACACCGCACAGCACTGAGCTCATTTAATTCCCAGGATAATCCTGTAAAAGGAACTCGCCCCGTCTCCACTTCACAGTGCACAGAGGGACAGAGAGGTGAAGTCACTCGTTCAAGGTCAAGCAGTCTCTCTTTGAGAGGTTAGAAGTGCTAAGGAATTCTTAGGAAACAGGAAGACATGACAGAGGAGTGGGGGCCAGGAGGAGGGAGAGGGTTATTTAGCTTGACTAAGGGCCCAGGAACGCCTCCCTCAGGAACTGACATTTGAACACCTCAATGGAGGCCTCAAGGAAAAGGGGCCAGCTTTCGTTGAGCTCTGGAAAGAGCGACTTGATGAGAAGTCCAAGTCTGCTTGGGTATCAGCACTTAGCACCCAGAGTGAGGTGTTTTTGTTTGTTTTTGAGAGGTTTTTGCTATAGGGCATGTGTGCTTACCAGAAAGAGACAGACGGAGACAGAGAGACAGAAAGTGAGAAATCACCCCCCAAGGGGGATGACCACGCCGCAATCCCTTCTCCTCCATTCTCCTCTCGGGATCTTGGGCACACACAGGCACCAGGCGTGAGTTTAAGCTGAGGAGTCCAGGACTCAAACCACAGTTGACTACATGGGAGTCCAGCGACATAGCCATTATGCCACCTGCTGGTCCCCAAAGTGAGTTTTTTAAAGTACAAATTAGGGGGCTTGCAGGTGGCGTGGTGGTTAAGGCACTGGAGTCTCACATGGCCGACGGATCAGAGTCCCAGACCTGGAGGCTGAGAATCATGCTGCGTGCACGTGCCTAAGTGCCCAAAACCCCAGGACGAGGGTGGAGGAGAAGGGATTGTGGTGCGGCCATCCTGGCTCTGGAGTGATTTCTCACTTTCCTTCTCACTGTCTCTGGTGAGCACGTGCACATTATGGCAAAAACCTTTAAAAAAAAAGAAAAAGGTACAAATTGGACCTCATCTCTACCCTGTTTTCAACCCTCACGTGGTTCCCTGTTTCCTTGAGACTGAGTTCAAGGCCCTTCCTGTGGTCTTTGGGGCCCAGCGCGTTCTGGTCCTGCTCCCCGCTCAGTGTTCATCCACTTCTCCCTTGGCCGGGACCCTCTTCGGTTTCAGCCCTACTAACCCTCTTCTCAGCTCTCCCTCACCTACTGCCCCAGGCCCTGCACTGCTGCTCCAACTTCGGGAATGCTTTCCCCTCGATCTGCGAATTGTTTCCTTCTGTGAGGCCTCTGTCCACCCCGCCTAAAGCCTAAAGCACATTCTTCACATAATTTCCAGCACCCGCTTCCTTTCCTTCTTAGCACTGGTTTATAATCTTGGAGAATTTACTTGACAGTACCAGGGCCGCAGGTTGGTATGGTGGCTACGGGTGCTAGACTCCCACATGGCCAACTGTGGTTGGAGTCCTGGACCTGGTGGCTCGCTTTCTCACTTTCTCTCTCTCTCTGTTCTTCTCTGGTTAAATTAAATTAAATTAATTCTTAAAAAAGAAAGAAAGAATAGTACCCATTTCACAGCAGTGGTTGGGGAGTAGATGACTGGGTCTGGGTGAAGTGCCTACGACAAGGCCTGGCCCTGCTTGGCTTTTTGTAAAGCTAGTAACACGGGGGTAAAGCTACCAGCAGTTGGCGTAATGGCTATGTCGCTGGACTCCCATGTAGTCGACCATGGTTAGAGTCCCGGACCCGGTGGCTTAAACTCATGGCGGGTTCGTGTGCATGTGTGTCCAAGATCCCGAGAGGAGAATGGAGGAGAAGGGATTGCGGCGTGGCCATCCCCCCTGGGGGGTGATTTCTCACTTTCTGTCTCTCTCTGCCTTTCTGGAGAGTGCACGTGCCCTATAGCAAAAACCTCTCAAAAAAAACAAAAAAACAAAAAAAACAAAAAAAAAAACAAAGCTAGTGGCATGGTCCCTCTAGACTGATCTGCATAAGGGCAGGGACTAAGTCACTGTGTCACCCACTGGGCCTGGGACATAGTAGGTGCTTTCAGAGCCCAGTCTCCTGAAAACTCAAGATTCTAGCTGCTAATGAGCTTCGGCTGAACTGAGGCACTGCGGCTGCTGGGGAGGGTGTAGGCTTAGCCCCTCTGCTGTCACTCTCAGTCCCCTCCCCCGTCTGCCTTCAGTGAACTTCTACTATTTTTTTTTTTAAGAATTATTTACTGGGGACCAGCAGGTGGTATGGTGGTTAAGGTGCTAGACACTCCCAAATGGTCAACCATGGTTCGAGTCCCGGACCTGGTGGCTTGCTTTCTCACTTTCTCACTCTCTCCCTTTGTATCTCTCTCTGGTCAAATTAAAATAAATGAGTGAATAAATACTGTACTGCTGGTCCCCACATCTACTATTTTTTAAGAGGTTTTTGCTTTTAGGGTACGTGTGCTTGCCAGAGAGACAGACAGAGAGACAGACAGAGAGAGAGAGGGAAAGTGAGGGAGGGATGGCCATGCCACAACCCCCTTTCCTCCATTCTCCTCTTGGGATTTTGATATGCACACCTGCCCAGCATCATTTCCAAGTCTCTAGGTCTAGGACTCAAACTCCACACTGGGCCACGTGGGACCTCGCCTCCCATACCACCATGCCACCTCGCTGGCCCAAGATCATCATTTTTCTTTCATTTTTTTGAACATTTAAAAGTACCTTTTCTATAGATGCTCAGAAACACAGGAATTGCTTCCCAGACTGCAAGTGTTGCATGGAATGATGCTGCTGGCAGGAGTGAAGAGCATTAGTGATAAAATAAATTTAATTTATATATATGTATATATATAGTATATATATATATATATGTACATATATAAAGAGTTATTAATTTTATTTATTACTTAAACATTATTTAAAACATTTCAACTAGAGAGATGCAGAAAGAGAGGGAAAGTGAGAAAGCAAGCCACCAGATATGGGACTTGAACTATAATCAGCCATGTGGGAGTCTAGAGCCTTAACCACTATGGCACCTGCCAACAGTCCCTTTGCTTCCATTCTCCTCTTGGGATTTTGGGCATGCATGTATACGTGCCTGGCATGAGTTTTAAGCCATCGGGTCCGGGACTTGAACATGATTGACTATGTGGAAGTATAGCGATGTAACCATTACACCCTCTGCTGGTCTCCAAGTGTATCATTTCTAGTGACTTGGACTCAGAAGCCAGCCTACCCAGACTCAGATCCAGCCTCGAGCTCTTCCTAGCTGTGTGATCTCAGGCCATTTGCTTAACCGTGCACAAAACAGAGATAATGAAGCTGAAGTCCTCGGGTACCGTGTGCTCAGTGGTGCCTGACGTGCACTGACGTTACGGGCATAGCTGTAAACAGCGAGCGGCAAATGCCAGCTGCCGGGGCCCGGGCTGGTGGTCTAGCTGGGTGAGCTGTGCCTAGCACCCACCCTCCCTGTCTCTACCCCCAGAGAATGGGAACCGCTACGAGGGCTGCTGGGAGAGAGGCATGAAGAATGGGTCAGGGCGTTTCTTCCACCTCGACCACGGCCAGCTGTTTGAAGGCTTCTGGGTGGACGACGTGGCCAAGTGCGGCACGATGATCGACTTTGGCCGTGATGAGGCCCCTGCGCCTACCCAGTTCCCCATTCCTCAGGTGGGCAGCCCTCGCCAGGGCCCTGTGGCCCCGCCCAGAGAGAAACAGAAACCAGCACCCCCTCCCCGTCACGCCCCACCCTGCCCGTCCAGCCAGGGAACAGACAAGGTTTTGTTTTCAGCTGGGGCATCCCCACAAGGCAGGCAGCAGCGGCCCACAAGGCGGGCAGCCTAGGTTTTCCGTTCTCCCCACGCTAACTCTCCTTTGTCCCCTCCAGGTCAAAATTCTAGACCCCGACAGTGTGCTGCAGGAAGCTTTGGCCATGTTCAAGAAGACAGAGGAGGAGGAAGGACAGTGATGCCGGGTGAGGGGGCAGGCGTGTCTGCCGCTCCCTGGGAGGTGGAGGCAGCCCTGGGGCTGGAACAAGCAGATTCCTAGGGTCTCCAAAGTGCTCAGGTGTGAGACCAGAGAGGGTAGGTGTCTTGCCTCCTGCAGTAGCTGGTCTTTTTTTGGGGGGTCTTCCCCTCCAAAATCCATTTCACTAAAGACCAGTGTATCCCAGTCCTGCCCCAAATTTCCCCTTCACCCTTGCCACCTGGGTTGGAGGCACTTGCTTCTAGATACCCTTGAGTAAGGGGGTTGGCCCTGGTTCTCCATTTCTGCAAATTCTGTCCAGTGGGCCCTTGTCCAGTATCCGTGAGAGTTAAAGGAAAGGGCATCGGTCCAGCATCTCTCAAACGCCAGCTCCCACCACCTCCCTTGCCCCCGCAGAGAACACTGAAGTTTCAGGAGGAGCTCAACTGTGTTACCCAACTGCTCAGACCGGTGTGGCTCCTGCTGCAGGGGTGAGCAGTGACTCTGGGCACGCCCTTGGCACCCTTCGAGGGCACCTCACTTCTCCCAGCACTAGATTGTTCTTTACCAATAGGGGGGCCAGTGCTTCTCTCTCCAGCTGGCCTTGGGGACCCTGTTGTTCTGGCCTTCATTCTATGACCTCATCCCGAAGTGCGTGAGAATAAAGGAACAACCTGGTGGCGTGAGCCCTGGACCCGCGGTATGAGGACGCCGGTGCACGGGGCTCAGGAAGCACTGTGGGTAGGGAGGGGAAGGTAGCCCTGGGGAATGCAGACAGCAGTTCCAGGCCTCTGACCCTTTGAGAAGCCCAGAAGGGGCAAGCCTGCATCCTGCTGCATGGGCCACTTGGATGAGACGGAAACCTGACCTGGCTTCACAGCCTAGCAGGGGAGCTCTCGCCCTGGGAAATTCCGTGGGGGCTTTGTTTTATTCCCTTAAGCTTATTTATTTTATTTAGAGAGAGAGAGAGGAGAGAGGCATCCTCAATAGTGTCTAGTCATGCTGCGATCCCTTTCCCCAGGCCTCCACTCCTCTAGATCCTGGGCAAGTGCCCGCCTGCCCAGTGTTTTAGGTTGACCCAGCCAGGGATCCAACCTACGTCAGCTGTGAGGCTTCCAGCACACGACTTCCTGTGTCACTGAGGCTGGGCCCCCGGGGAGCCTTCGAAGCCATGAACACCCAGGTCCCATGGCCAGAGGTTCCCTTCTAATTCATCTGTGGTGAGTCCTACACGTTCAGAAAGTTTCCCAGGTGACTCTGATGTCCAACTGGGGCCGAGAACCTCTGCCAAACTGGCTGTGACCCCAAGCAAGTGATCTCCATTTCCCCATCTGTAAAATGGGTCTCAGGAGACCTCACCAGAGTATTTTGAGGCTTTGATAACAAAGCCTTAAAACTGGATTGCAAACCAGATACCCAGGAAGAGCTTTGCAGAACATTCACCTGGGCCACATCTCAGAGGTAAGACAGACTTGCATAAAGGCAGGAGCATGAGCTCTGGAGTCAGGCTGCTCGGGTATGAAGCCCAGAGCTGTGTGTTCTTGGGAATGTCACCCAAACTATTCTCCGGCTTCCTCACTTGTAGCAGGGGACAATAATGATCCTGACCACCCGTGGTTACTGTGGTTCGTTTCCATGCGGATGCAGTATGGCGGTGGCTCTAAACTAGGTGCAATTTTGCTCCATCCTTCCTGCCCCTAGCTCCACAGGGACATTTGGCAATCTCTAAAGATGATTTTGGTTGTCACAGTGGGCAGGGACGAAGATGCTGGCCTCTAGTGGGTAGAGGCCAGGGCTGCTGCTGAACGTTCTGCAGTGTAAACACATTGTGAAAGAGCTGGAGCAGCAGGCAGCGTGGCGGTGACTGCTGGACCTCACATGGCTGACTGCACAGTTCAAGTCCCAGACCCAGAGGCTTGAAAAACATGCTGGGTGTGTACTCAAAATCTTGAGAATGGAGGAAAAGGGAGGTGATTTTTTCTTTGATTTCTCTGCCTCTCTCTGCCTTTCTCTAGCAAACGCACACCCTATAGCAAACTGTAATAATCATAATAATAAAAAGGCCAGCCGGTAATGCAGGAGCAATGCAACACTGATCCTAGACCCACAGAGGAACATCCCACGTTCACATCCCGAGGCCTCCCTGAGCACACCAAGTGTGCTCACACAGGTGTGCCTTTGACCCAAACTGGCTGAAGTTGGGGAGATCGTGGCATGAAACTGGGGTCCCTGGGGGACCAGCAGGTGGCATGGTGGTTAGGCTCTGGACACTTACACATGACCAATCACTGTTCGAGTGCTGGACCTGGTGGCTTCCTTTCTCTCTCTGTGTCTTTCTGGTCAAATTGAAATAAATGAATGAATAATTAAAATGAAATAATTCTTTTTAGAAAAAAGAAATTGGGGTGCTTGACTCTCTCTCTCTGATAGAAGAAATAAACAAACTTATATAAAACAAACAAACAAAAACAAAAATGAAGCTAAAGACTGGTTCAGCCCTGTTGATAGCGTTGATTGAAAAACCCTGAAACACGGCGATGTTCGTAAAGCCCTTCACGGGTGCCTGACACGTGAAAGCTCAGTAACTGCTCACTGACGTCACGAGGTTCTCTCTGGCCCTAAACTGTAGGCAGCATGGCCTGACCCAGCGCATGGTTCTTAGTCTGCACCTCTGACGCCAGGAAACCAAGTCTGGCCACCCTGGGCATAGAACTGACAGTAGCGACCACACAGAGTACACCGGGCTCCAGGCCTTGGGCCAAGGGCTTCATGGCTCCCCTTCCGGGAACCAACGGCCTATGCGGTACCCTATGAGTGCCATTTTAGAGGTTCGGGGAGACTGCTGGGCTTAAACTGGGGTCTGTCTGCTTTTAAGGTACAGAAGAGTGTGAGAAATGTGTGTATAGAGGGCTACCTTTTTTTTTTTTAAGAAAGACTTGGGGGACAGGATAGTAGATGGTAGTGGTTATGTTGCTGGACTCGCACAGCCGACCACAGTTCCAGTCCTGGACCAAGCGGCCTAAAACTCACCCTGGGTGCGCGCGTGTGTGTGCGCACATGCACCCGAGATCCTGAGAGGAGAAAAGAGGAGAAGGGCTTACAGCATGACCATCCTCCGAGGGGTGATGTCTCACTTTCTGTCTCTCTGGCGAGTGCATGTGCCCTATAGCAAAAATCTCTCTTTAAAAAAAAAAAAGCAGACTCTGGGGAGAGGGGGCTTGCTTCCGTATAAAATATGACTTGGTAGGAACACAATACACAAGCAACAATACTGTCTCCAGGGAGAACCAGGACGGGGGACGGGGGCGGGAGAGCGACTTTTCACTGTTGTATTTGGAACCATGTGCATGTATTATCTGCGCAAAATATAAATAAAACTGGAATTAAAGAGACTGTGCTCTTAACTGCTGGTGTTTGGCTAAGTTGCCTGGGTGTGAGAATACCTGGGGTGCTTGTTAGATTCCAGAGACACACCCAGGCCAATTTGATCAGAATCTCTAGGGAGAGGGCTTGGAAACCTGCATTAGGCCAGTGGAGCTGGTGATTCTTGGGCAAGTTCAGTCCAAAGAACCAAAGACTCCAGGGTCTGATCCAGGGTCTCGGAAGTAGGGAGGTGGCTCTCCTAAGGGAAGGTATGAGATGTCCAGACCTTCTCTGGGGAGCAGCTGGTTTTCCAGCTAGGGAGGTTTTTGCTATAGGGCGCACGTGCTTGCTAGAAAGACAGAGAGTGACAGAAAGTGAGAAATCACCCCCCAGGGAGCTGGCCACGCTGCAATCCCTTCTCCTCCATCCTGTGCTCTGGATGTTGGCCACACACAGGCACCCAGTGTGTGTGTGTGTGTGTGTTTAATATTTCTTTAATTTTATTTATTCATTCATTTTAATTTGACCAGCGAGATGGAGACAGAGAGAGAGAGTGAGAAAGCAAGCCACCAGGTCCAGGATTCGAACCATGGTCAGCCATGTGGGAGGGTCCAGCGCCTTAACCAACACGCCACCTCCTGGTCCCCCCAATGTGAGTTTTAAGTCACCGGGTCCAGGACTCAAACCGCAGTCGACTTTGTGGGAGTCCAGTGCCGTAATCATTGTGCCATCTGCTGGTCCCAAATAATCCTTTTAAAATAAAAAAGAAAAGCCAGGCACGCACATGCATGTCCAGGGTTCTGACAGGATGGAAAGTGGAGAAAGGACTGTGGCATAACCAGGCCCATTGTGTGGGGGGGTTCCCTTTCTCTGTCGTGCACTTGTTTAAAAAAAAAGGGGGAGGACATCGGATTTAAAAAAAAAGTTTTAGGGAAGTCTCTTGGATCTACAATGGGAAGACACGCTCCAGGCCTGTCAATGCCCTACCCAACTTTTGCTTCAGCCAGAGCTAAGCCAATTTTTCTGTAGACCAAACCAATCTTTCCTAAAGTGACCACATATTGGGTTTCGGGGACAGACTGAAATCTCAAGTTCAAGAACCTATGGGGGGACTTACGGGGACCAGGGTAAGTAAGTGAAGCTGGACTGGCATGAGACAAGAGAGTGGTGAGGACTATGGCAAAAATATGTCATGGGAGGGGGCTGGCAGGTGGGGCATGGTGGTTCAAAGGCGCTGGATTCTTACATGGTGGACCGTGGTTCGAGTCTTGGACCTGGCGGCTTGCTTTCTCACTTTCCCTTTCTCTCTCTCTGGTCAAATTAAAAAATAATTATAACAAATGGAATTAAATATTTTTAAAAATATGCCCTGGGAAAAGGGTGGCTGCAACCCAGCTCCTGCTTTGTTAGTGTGTAAGAAAATGGGTGGGATCTCAAAAATTTTTCAAGCAAAGCCAAAATGAATCACAAGATTTTTGTGAGGGCCTAGGCTCTGGGCCAGACTTTGTGAATCCTGCCAAGTGACTTAACTTCTTTGGACATTAATTTTGTCATCTGCAAAATGGAGATAAGAATAGTGCCCACCTTATAAGGAGGCTGAGTTAAATTTAAATCCACACATACTGCTTAGAACAGCATCTGCCAATAGTCAACTCTTATTTTGTTTTAAACGGATCCCAACACATCACACTTAAATATCCCTGCTCTATAGAATGTGTAACCTTATTGTAATGAGAAACATCAGAGAAACCAAACTGAGAGAGCATTCCACAAAACGACAGGCCAGGACGCTTCAAATATGTCAGTGTTGAGGCTAGCAGGTGGCATGGTGGTTAGACACTGGACTCCCACATGGCCGACTGCGGTTCAAGTCCTGGACTGGGTAGCTTGCTTTATCACTTTTCCTCTCTATCTCTTTCGAGTGTATGTGTCCTGTAGCAAACTGAAAATACGTTAATTAAATAATTATTTTAAAAAGAGAGGAAAAAAGTCAATGTAATAAAAGACAAAGGCTGAGAACTGTCCCAAATAAAAGGACAGAGATGTGACAGATCATTGTTAACACATGATCTTGGGTAGGAAAAAGCACTACCGGGAAAGGCATTCTTGGGACTAGTGGGAAAACGATGTAAACATGAGCGTTATACGAGATAGAATTTGATCAATAAATTGTGGTTATATAAGGGAAATGTCCTTGGTATTAGGAGGAAGTATTTAAGGATAAGGACCATGATCTTTTATTTTATTATTTTTTTCGAGAGGTTTTCACTATAGGGCACGTGTGCTCGCCAGACAGAGAGAGAGACATAGAGACAGAAAGTGAGAAATCACTCCCCAGAGGGGATGGTCACGCTGCAATCCCCTCTCCTCCATTCTCCTCTCGGGATCTTGGGCACGCACGCACACGCGCCTAGCATGAGTTTTAAGCCACTGGGTCCAGGACGCAAACCACGGTCAACTACGTGGGAGTCCAGCAACATAGCCATTACGCTAACTGCTGGTTCCCTTTTTTCTTTCCAATTTGCTAGAGGGTGCGTATGTGTGTCAGAGAGAGACAGAGACAGAGAAGGAAAGTGAGAGAGCAACCCCGGGAGGCATGGTCATGCCACAATCCCTTCTCTTTCATCTTTTTGGGATCCTGGATACACACGCACATGCACCTGGCATGTTCTTCAAACTGTTGGGTCTGGGACTCGGGGATCCAGTGCCTTAACCACAGTGCTGGCTGGTCCAGGACCATGATATCTTAACTAACGCATGTGGCTAAGGCCGGGGTGAGACACAGCCAATAGCATCACTCTCGTTTTCAGTATTTGCCAAATCACCTACTTGCTGGGGGAGACATCCTACCTTCTCGTTTCGGCTTGTACCGTAAACAAGTGTGCTTTACCTGGTCTACTCGGTGTCCTATCCCTCACAGTTTTGTGCTTCTTGTTGGGGATTCTGCTTTTCGAAATGGTCTCCAAGTGAAATACAAGAGTGCTCTTCCTAAGCACAGGAAGGTTCTGATGTGTCTTACAGATCTGTCTGTCAGATAAGCATCGTCCAGGCGTGAGTTACAGAGCTGGTAGCAGTGAGTTCACTGGTCATGAGCCAACAAAATAAAGATGTTTATAAACAGAAATACACGTACGACACGGCTAGTAAGTGGTTGGCAAAAACATCACGACCAGAGGCTGACAGGAGCCCAAGCATTTCCCGCTAGGAGCAATGGCAATAGCCACAAATCCAACCTTCACCGTGACTTTAGAATAGAACTAGCTCCAATAATAAGGAATGACTGTGGGCAGGGGCCAGCAGGTCCCAGGCCTGGCAGCTTGAAAAATACACCAGGTGTGTATACACGTGTGCCCCAAATCCTGAGAGAATGGAGAAGGGAGTGTGGTGTGGCCGTCTCCCCTCAGGAGTAATTTCTTTTTCTTTTTTCTTTTTTTTTTTTTTGGAGAGGTTTTTGCTATAGGGCGCGTGCGCTCGCCAGACAGACAGAGACATAGAGACAGAAAGCGAGAAATCACCCCCCAGGGGGGATGGTCACGCCGCAATCCCTTCTCCTCCATTCTCCTCTCGGGATCTTGGGCACACACGCACACGCGCCCAGCGTGAGATTTAAGCCACCGGGTCGGAGACGCGAACCGCGGTCGACTACGTGGGAGTCCAGCGACATAGCCATTACGCTAACTGCTGGTTCCCTTTCTTTTTTCTTTTTTAAAAAAAATGAATTTAATTCCATTTGTTGTTATTATTTTAAAATTTGACCAGAGAGAGACAGAGAAAGAAAGGGAAAGCAAGAAAGCAAGTCGCCAGGTCTGGGCCTCAACCCGGGGTCAGCCATGAGGGAATCTAGTGCCTTTAACCACCACACCACCTGCCAGCCCCTTATGGTGATTTCTCACTTTTCCTCTCTCTCTCTCTCTGGTGAGTGCACATACCCTATGGCAGAAACCTTAAAAAAAAGAAATGCCAGGGCAGGGCGGGCAGCAGGGCAGTCGTGCCATGCAGCGTTCTGAGGCTCGTGCACATGTGATGACTCCGGGATCGTGCCCACAGACCTCGCTGAGAACCCAAGGTGTGCAGATGCCCACGATCAGGACTGACTGAGGGCGGAGGTGGGTGATGGTGTCATGACCCCCACTGGGGTCCCGTCTCTTTTTCACACCTATGGAATAAAGGAAAAGAAAAAACTGCATACACATTTCAGTTCTTATTCATGGAGCATTTTAGCAAGACTGAAATTTCTCAAAATAAAATGTTGAAAAAAAATGGGGCCAGCAAATGGTGTAATGGTCATGTTGCTCGACTCCTACGAAGTTGACCACGGTTTGAGTCCCAGACCCAGTGGCTTAAAAGTCATGCCGGGCGTGTGTGGGCATCCCCATAATCCTGAGAGGTGAATGGAGGAGCAGGGATTATGGTGTGGTCATCCCCCCTGGGGGGAGGGGGATTTCTCGCTTTCTGTCTTTCTGGTGAGTACATGTGCTCTATAGCAAAAATCTCTTAAAAAAAAAAAAAGAAACGGTTGTTAAAAATCTTTGCTTTAACCCTGACCCAGGGTACCAGTAGCCCAGACCCAATAGACATAGACACGAGGAGGCGGTGTCCCTTCTGAGTGTATTTAGGTGTCCACACGCACGCACACGCACTCGACACGGAACGAGGTGGAGGCCGAGATGGAAAGGACAGGAAGCACCCAGGCGGCACTGGCTCGGGGAAGAGGAGGGACAAAGGGCGCGTCTGTCCCTAGTCTGGCTCCCACCACCTCCGAGGGAGGTGGACCAGGAGCTGGAAGAACAGGAAATGCTTATTCTCTTAGAGGACAGTTTCAAAGTGCAGGAATTTCTTTTTTTAAAAAGCTTTTTCCCTCCACTCTCCGTGTTCCCCATGAAGCCCAGCTCCCCTGCCAAGCTGTTCTAGAGGCTGGGGCAGCACGAGGTCATAGGGAAGGTAAGGCCACAGCTCTGAAAGGCCCTGAGCGCGGGGGCTTAGGCATAGTGGCTGCCAGGCGTCAGGGGGTGGTCCCCTCTGTGGTCCAGCTGGTCCTGCAGGCGGGCGAACTCGGCCAGCTCGTTGAGCTCCTGGAACTGTCGGTCCGTCTTATGGCTGACCAGGGAGCGGTAGAAGTGGACAGCGAAGACGATGAAGACCAGGCCGAAGGGCACCATGATGGTGGTGGAGGCGATAGCAGCCGCCTGGCCTGGGGTGATGTCGCCGGTGGGAACACTGACGTTGGCAACAGCTCCGCTAGCTGGGGACTTGCTGGTGGGCCGCGGCTGGCCTGGCTGCCTCTTGAGGGGCAAGAACTTGACCCAGCAGAGCAGCACGACCTCGGCCAGGAAGAGCAGCGTGCCGATGACGGTGGAGAAGGCCCAGGCCAGCTCGATGTGGCGATGCATGCGCTCGTGGGGCGACTCCTTGACGGAGTTGAGGTTGTGCACGTTGCTCACTGCCTCGATGTTGGGCAGGATGCAGGTGCTGATCATGAGTGCAAACAGGTGCACGGCCACCAGCACCGTGGTGCAGGCGCTGAAGGCGATGAGCAGCCCCGGCGGGTAGTCATGTTCAGCGTCCAGCTGCACCTCCACCATCGCCACCTGGAGGGGGACAGGTGGGGTGAGTGACATGACAGCCCTAGGTCCCAGCTCTGTCTGTCAGGCTCTAGAACTCTCTGGGCTCTCTGAACCTGTTTCCACATGCATATGGGGCTTAAGAAGACCCACCCACTTGGGGTTGAGAAGTGGCAGAAAGGGCTGGTAAAGGCAGGCTTAGTGGGATCAACAGGAGATGTGGGAGTTCAGGTGCTGGACTCCCACATGGCTGACAGCAGTTCAAGTCCTGGACCTAGCATGTTGCTTACTCGCTTTCCCTCTCTCTGTCTCTGGTGAGTGCACATGCCCTACAGCAAATTAAAAATATTAATAAATTTAATTCTCTTAAAAATAATTCTTGTTTTAAAAATAATTATTTAATTGTATTCATCATACTCATTATTATTTTAATTGAACAGAGAAAGACACAGAGAGAGAAAGGGAAATTGAGAAAGCAAGACACCAAGCCCAGGACTCAAACCATGGTCAGCCGTGTGGAAGTCCAGAGCCTCAATTACCACGCCACCTTCTGTGGTAAATAAATTAATTAATATGACCAGAGAGAAACAAAGAGAGAGAAGAAAAGTGAGAAAGCAAGCCACCAGGTCCAGGACTTGAACCATGGCTGGCAATGTAGGATTCCAGTGCTTTTAACCACCACTCCATCTGCTAATCCCAAATAATTATATAGATTTTTGCTACAGGGCACATGTGCTGGCCAGAGAGACAGAAAGCAAGAAATCACCCCCCGGGGGGATGGCCACACCACAAAATCTTCTCCATTTTCCTCTCGGGATCTTGAGCATCCACGCACACTCACCTGGCATGAGTTTTAAGTGCCCAAAATTGCGAGAGGAGAATGGATTGTGGCATGGCCATCCCTCCAGGGGGTGATTTCTCACTTTCTGTCTCTCTGGCAAGAGGGCATGTACCCTATAGCAAAAAACAAACCACACCCAAAAAAACCCCAAAAAACCAAACAAACCTTTCTCTCTCAAATAAAAAAAGCAACCACCAGCCACTACCCTTGTTCGTCCCACATTCTGACAGCTACGCAGAGGCTTCTCCTTCATGCCCTGCTCTGGGGACAAGGAGCAGGAGGGGGCTGGAGAGGAGAAGCCTGCCCAGGTCCATTCTGGGAACACAGATGCCCCTCACCCCCACCAGTGAGGAACCAAGAGAGGCTTCCGGGAAGAGAAGGCTCAATCCTAAGGCAGCTGGGCGGCCAGTGAGCCCTGGGGCTGTCTCCACCTGAGCCCTGGGGTTGACGCACTAGCTGCTCCCAGTTCCTGGAGCCCTGCAGGTGCAGGGTCACTAGGGCCAAGCTCTGGCCACCGCGCCTGCTCACCTGAGCCTTGCAATTCACCCCCATGAGGAGCTAGCTCATCAGATACAGGCTGGGAGTCGTGGGCAGCAGGCATGCTGCCAGGGTCTGCCTGTGTGGGCTGAAGGTATTAGGCAGTGGGCACTGATGGCGTAACATATCCCAGGTGGCGACTCGAGAACACATTTGTTGACTGTGGCAGGCTGGGACAGGATGACTGGTGCTGGTCTGTCCACCAGCCTCATGCCAGCCTGACCCACAGGCAAGAACGCCTGCAGCCTGCCCGAGCCCGCCTGTCCTAGGTGGGGGTGAGCTCTCCTTCCTCACCAGCTCTACCAGGTTGCCTGGCTTTGAGCCCTGACCCCTTTGCCCTTTATTAGACTGTGTAACTGGGGACCAGAAGGTGGCATGGTAGTTAAGGTGCTGGACTCCCACACTGCTGACTGCAGTTCAAGTCTCAGAACTGGTGGCTTACTCTCTCTCTCTCTCTCTCTGGTGAGTGCATGTGCCCTGTAGCAAATCTTAAAAATAATAATAAATAAAATATTGTGTAGCTTTGGCAAATCCCTCAAACTTTCTGGGCCTCAGTTCCCACCTCCATAA